AGGGGGGGGGTGACGGCAGTTTGGGGAGTGATCGCGGCTCGGGACGGGCTGGGCATCAGCCAGCGGGTGGTGAGCAACTGCAGTGTGCATCACTTGTTTTGTATATTCTGTATATTCTCTTACCATTATTATTATTATTACCATTGTTATTCTTCTCTCTTATTAAACTGTCTCTATCTCAACCCATGGGTCTTACTTTTTTTCCCCCAATTCTCTCCCCCATCCCACTGAGGGAGGGGCGGGAGTGAGTGAGCGGCTGCGTGGCACTGAGTTGCCAGCCGGGTTAAACCATGACGCCCGCAAGGTTCGGAAAGGGTCGACGTGAATTTTCCCGTGCTGAATTGCTGACGTCCACCTGCGCCCTCAGCCCCGCGCCGAAATCCCCACCCGAGCAGCTCCCAGCCAAAACCGCTGAGCTCATCAGTACTTAGCGCAACCAAAGGGCAAGACATGAAGGCGTTACCCCAAAATCAATAGCCTTTGGAGGCGCACAGATTGCAGCGTTACATCCAGCGGGCCTGCAGCACTATGCGCTGCAAAAAAAAAAAAAAAAGGAGAGAGGGGAAAAAAAAAACCAAACCCGCCAACACTTTTATGGCTGACCTAGAATTGGCTTCTCTGTAGCACAGCGCTGCCTGCTGATAAAATAACGGCACAGCCGGTGTCCTTCAGATGCTCCGCGCGCAAACCTGACTCCGGTTTGTGCAAAGGCTCAGATAACGCGGCGCTTCCGAACTAACCAAAGGCCCGTCCCCGAGCGCGCCCGAGCCAGCTCGCACGCGGCAAGAATTAGTTCTGCCCGTACCCAAGCCGTCGCGTGGGTCCCCGGTTTGATCTGGGAGCAAAGCAGCTCGAGTGCGTTTCATTACCCAGCAAAAGACTTCATTAAAGGAACTGCAAGGGTCAGCTTTCCACCGGCACGCGCTCAGGAAATTGAGAGATGAAGGCTTGCTCTGTGCCGGCGTAGCGCTGAAGTCTGAGGTGCGTGCGTGGTAATCGGCCGACAGAGAGGCAGAACGCAAAGGGCTCAGGGTTTCAGGGTCTGGCACGCTTCGCCTTGGCACCCGCTGGATTTTGGCTACAGCCCATCGACCCTGACGCGCAGAGCCCGCCCCGGACTGAAACAGGATGCTTTGCGCCAGAGCTGACGCCTGCTTTTGCCCTGAGCACGATCTGGTATTACTCATGCTCAGCTAAGGATGACGATAGCGCTGGGGAGACCGTCCCTGCTGGAAGGGACCAGGGACTTTGCAGGAAAATCGAGTCTGTAAAGCCACTTTGCTGCCGTCTGCGCTGCCGGATCGTGCCGGCGCCCGTGTCGGCCGAGGGGCGAAGGCACGGACCGAGAGTAATTGCCAAACCACTCGGCTCCCTGGCCTCTGCATTTTTGCCTATTTATAATGGGAAGTCTTGTTGATAGCTGGACAAATCTCATTTGTGAGTGACTGCCAGGAATGGAAAAACAAATAGATGGGACCGAGGGAGCAAGGCTGGGGTTAAGCAAACACGATCTGTAAGTGCAGACCTTGCTTTCTAGAAAGCAACAGGGTGCCCGTGTCACCGTGGCTGCTGGGGTCCCCTCGGGGCTGGTGGGGCACGGGAGGAACATTTATCTGCTCGCCGGGTTGCATGGCGACACAGATGCTGCTTTGGGCGAGGCTCAGCTCCCCGGCTTAGGAGCGAGGCAAGCCCCAGTCCAAGTTTTGGATGGGGGTTATTTGTCCAATCAGTCCAGCATGTATCAGGCCCTCTAGGATTGCTCCCACCGCTCGCCCAAGACTGGAGCTAGATCAAAGCGATGGGCGCCCAACTGCCATGGTTCCAGCCTCCGAAAGCACTCGGAGCTCGGAGGTGCGTGGGGCAGGGCTGGCCCAGGGTCCCACGGCTCTGGGAGGTCCCCCAGGGGTACCAGCCCTGCTCCGCCTGAATTGATGGTGGGAGCTTTTCAAGGCTGTCTCTGCTTCAGCACAATTAGGAGCTGAAATATTGCAGGAATTAATGGGGAAGCTCTCATCTCCTCGGGAGCTAGAAACCCAGCAGAGCCAGCACCCATCATTAT